AAATTCACTTCATTCAAAAGATGGAACAAATGAAGAGTGCATACATTGTAAGCATCATAAGCTAACTTATAGTTTATTTAGTATACTTATAAGTTTCCTGTATTTAAATAAGCTTGGTTTGGCATAACGGGCTTTTCTTAAAAAGCTCGAGCTTTTTCTCATAAGCATCTTTGGGTAGTTTTTCAAATAAGCGCGTCGAAATTTTTATTTCAGCTAGTTTATTAACTAATTTTACGCACACTTCTATCGAAATAAGCTAACTTTCCAGCCATACGTCATAAGCTATCAGCTATAAGCTTGAAATTCATTTATTTGGTAAAACTAGCTGATAAGTTAGTTGATAGCTTATAAGTGAATTTCGAATTGATAGCTTATGGCTTACGGTTGCAAAGCTAGTTGATATGATAAAAGAGATAAAAACAAACACACACAAAACCCTTCCTTGGGAAGTGGAAAAGAAAAGGACAAAAGATACTAACCTGTTTTCCAAGAGTGAAGATAATATATGGATCACTCGATAGCATGTCTCGTACAGCTAAATTTGTGCCCTTCAGCACTTTAACCTTTAATGTCCCAACAATGTTTGCCGTTCCATTCTATGAACGAAATTTGGCTTTTTTAGCTACACTCGTCTAAGACAATAATCCAGAAAAGCACACATATATCTCACCACATTCATAATTACAAAAATACACCCGGTGTTTAGCTTAATAACAAGAAACACGCTTGAGATACATTTCGAAATAACAGATACATGATTATGATACGTTTAAAAAACGAATGCAAATGAGCTACTTGTGATCTTGAAAAATCAATGGGTTTTGTCTGAAATTATGACTACAATTAATCCCGGTGAATAAACACATACTGAGTTTGAGCTTGAAGTTCGAATACTGTCCACATTCTTCCTGGATAGACTTGCTTGTAAAGAAGCCTTTTCGGAAGAAGACAAAATTCGCAGGCTCGATTTTAGAAACTCTTGATGTTCATACTTTGACCTACAAGTTGAGAAAATGTAATTTGGAAACCAAGCAAGTGGTGATTAATTATTCATGAGGTGATTAGTGAAATGATTGGATATAAATTCAATCAAAAAAAGAAAAAAAAAATCCAATCATAACTCAAATCTAACTCAAACCCATTATCCTCAATTTTATCTATATAATTAAATAATTAGTGAGAATCCCGTGCGATGCACGGGGGTTTTGTACTTTAGAACAATTTTTCAAAACTTTATTTTACCGTTGACCCGTTAATATTAATATAAGCAATATTTTATCATATATATATATATATTTATATTTTTTTTTAATACAGAAAACATAATAATTTTACATATTTTGGTTCATCATAATACTAAAATATTATTTTATTCCAAAATTTATTATCGTATAATGTCATTATTATTTATAACACTTATAGAAGTAATATTCTTTTTTTATATAATGACAAATATTTAATGCATATTAATATTATTTATTAATGTAATTAATTTAAAATATATAAGCAAATTTAATGTTTGTTACGAATGTGAATATATGTAAGTTAAGATAAAATTGAATGTATCCAAAAAAAAAAAATTGTAATTGAAAGAGTTCATAAAAATTGATAATCATTCCAACATAAAGGCCTATACGAGATCTTAACAACATCCAAATCTAATAACTTGTACGGTTTTATAGTACCAAATATATTATACGAAGTAAAAAAAATTGATATTCTGGATTTTATTACTATAATAAAATAATTGAAAGAGTTCATAAAAATTGGTAATCTTTCCAAATCTAATAATTTTTACGTTTTATAGTACCAAATATATTATACGGAATAAAAAAAGTTATATTTTGGATTTTATTACTATAATAAAATAATTGAAAGAGTTCATAAAAATTGGTAATCCTTTAAACCGAAAAAGTTCAAAATGTCACTTGGCGGGACTTTTTGATTTATTTCAAGGAGAAAAGAAAAACCTACTTAGTTCAGTAGTTCTGAAATTTCAAGCGGAAAATCAAATGACTTTTAGTTACTATGTTAAGTAAATATCATTGTCTCTTTATATATTAATAGATAGATTAAAAATGCTACATAAATTTAAGTTGTGCAAAAATATATCAAACATGCCTATCAAAAAGTACCTAAAATGTCATATAATATAACATGTATAAAATTAAATGCTAAAAAAGTTCTCTAGTATTCTTGACAAACGTGTGAAATTACCTAAAATAACACCAAAGTTGTTTTACGCTATTATTTATATATAGGCACACCGTGAAATTAATAATTTAGTAAATTTACAAATCAAATTTCTACCTAAGCTATGTATTATTTATTATTTAAATTAAACCATGACAATATTCACAAGCTAGATGTTATCGGCATATGTATTCAAATTTAAATATTGATATTCAGGAATTAACATAAGTGGAGCCTTGAGATAAAATTTAAGTGACATGTTGTGAAGGAAAAATTATGGCATCCCATATTTTAAAATTTAAGTGATATAGTGTGAAGAAGAAAAATGTCATCCCATATTTTTAGGGCTAATGTGAGTTGGGATTTTATCACTTTAAATCACTTTATATGGCACGATTTGAGACAAAATTTGAGGGATTCACATTCCATAGAATTTTCAAATTTTCCTTTTTAGCATTATTTAGTTATTTTTTCTTTTATGGATCTCTTCAACGAAATCGTTGTGATTATATTAACGAAGATCTGTGGTGTCTGTGTATGGTATGTGAATCCACTCATATATTTTGTACAAATTTTTTTGATGGTTTTAATTTGAATTTCAAATAATTGGCCGCCATTTTTCAAAAATATTTAAAAAAGTTACTAATATAGGTAAAAATGAATTATTTAGGTGGGGATTCAGTTACTATTAGGTAAATGCCAAACCTTTTTATATTTATATAGATATAGATACTAATCAATCATCCTTACACATCACATCAATTTTATTTCACTATTCATCCACTCACATAATTTTAACTAACCATCATTTCATATCATCTTTTTCCTACTTTTACATCAAATCAACGTTAATTATTTTATTTTAAATATTATTTGAATTTAAACTTAAAATTCCCACTAACAACTAACCATACCATCTTTTTCAAAATTAACTTTGTTAACAAAAAAAAAAAAACCAATAAAAAACCAATCATATCCATATCCAATCACTGCAAGTCTCAGATAATGTACACATGTGAGATTAGCCGCAAAAGAAGAAAAATGAACAATGATTTAGACTAACCTGATAAATATTAAACGTTCTTCATGGGAGGCATCAGGTTTTGGTTTAGACACTCCTTCAGGAAGATAAGCCTCGTAAATAGAATTTGCAGATGCATTTCCACCTACCTCAAACATGGCTTCGATTTCATCATCAGACCAGTCGTCTAATGTCACAGATAAGACCTGCAATTATTGACGAACTTGCGGTAAAATAATGTAATTATACAAAAAAAAAAAAAAAGGAAATTCAGGGTTAGTAGTTTTAGAATATTCCAATGCAGCAAAAATAAGACAAAAGGGGATGCAAATTACCTTAGAAACATGTGTGCCAAGGCTTCTGTGGACACCACAGCACTTCAAACACAAAAAAACTCCAATATTCGCTGATCTGAAACGGTAGAAATATAAATTTTGGAAAAAAACAAAGATTGATCAATCTTTTATGATTTAATTGCAGTCCTAGAAGCTCTCATTCTATCGTAAAATTAGCCTAATAGATATCTAATATGTTGAAAATGTGTGCAGTGTATTCCACACCAACCAATGATAATGTTTAACAAACATTCATATTTAATTCTCGAATCAGGTTAATTTGTTATATTTTTTTCTTTCTAGGCACATATTCGTGGAATACATACACCTCATAAAGAAGTAATTGCACAAGGTTCTGTGGCGTCTGAGCATAAATTAGTAATTTCAGAAGAGATAAAGAGAAGAGAGAAAAAACAAGTGGTGGAAACTAACGCCCATTTTGGATCTGGAGCACCACAATCTGCACATACACGATTATCAAGTTGAACCATAAGCTCTTTCAATCTCCTTTTACCTGTGCAATTTTTCATAAAGCAGAGACTCATTGATCTGGGGAAACAAACAGTGAATTACAGCTTATAATCATCAACTCACAAAAGTTATGATTCTACATAATGCATAATGCAGAAAAACTTATGATTCAACAGAATGCATAATACAGACGTCAAAGTTTATTAACTTTTTAACATCCCACGATTTTCTAAGTGCAGGAAAATTCAATTGAAAGCAATTAGAAACACAACTAACTCCAGAAGAGATAAACCCATCCCACAATTTTCTAAATGCTTTCCTGAGAGCAGGAACATTCAATTGAAAGCATTTAGAAGCACAACTAACTCGAAAAAGGGAAAAACCCATCTCACAATTTTCTAAATGCTCACCTGAGGTTGGTCTCCCCAGGGCAGACGGCTGGTTGCTCATTGCTCGGATTTCACAATCCTATTTTCGACTGAAACTTTGCCAAATTTTCTAGAAAACCCTACAAGAAGTTACTACCCAAAGGAATTGAGAAAAAAAGATGGATCAATCTTGTGCTTGAGTAGATGCTAATTTACAAACGGATAATCCCTACAAATCATTTACCAAAATCCCAGAATTAATTCCATCGAGATAATCAAATCAATCAAAATAACCAAACATATTGCTAGCACTCATCATCTGGGCTCGCACAGTTATCCAAAAAATCTAATCTTTCGTGATTTTTTCTCTTCACATGGTAACACGAAACTCGAAAGTGGTTAAAATAAATCAGGGGGAAACAAAATCCCATCATCAGAAATTACACATTCTGCAAGTACATAAACGAGAAGTTTAAACAGACAGATTCAGAACTTTCGGCCATTTGGGGCATCAAACAATTCGAAAAAACAGAGAAAATTTGGCAAAATAGCTGAACGCTTGAATCACTTCATCTGATCTTGATCGAGCTGGGAGGATGGATCAATTACCTTAATTTTTGCTTTTGAGAATGGAAATTTGGGGTTGGCTCAAAATGGATCGAGGATGAAGGAGAAAAAAATTGTAGTGGTAATTACTGAATGTGGTGATAAGTGAAATGGGTCGTTTTTGTTCTGATTCGTTAATCAACCATAACTGCTTTGATGCGACTGTTTTATTTGGCTGTGAAAGCATCTTTTCTTTTCATTTAGAGTAAATTGGTAAAATTTATAGTTATTGTATTATTATAAATATAAAACTAGCTAAGTCCTAAAAATAAAATGAGAATATAGCAACAAATGAGGATATAGCAACACTTAAGTTATATATTTTTAATATTTACAATATAATCAACTTATAC